TTGATGGCCATAAAAGCCATGTAAATTATACAAGTGTTAGATTCTGTCATGAGAATGGGATTCTACTTTATGCACTTCCTCCACACACAACACATATTCTCCAAGCGTCCGAACTCCTTTTTGCAAAACTTAAAAGAGAGTATAATAAAGATTGTGATGAGCTACATAATACTAAGGGAGAAGTAGTAACCAAGTATACATTCGCTAAGATTCTTGGGCCAGTATTCGCTACAATCTACACTCCTGAGGCAATTATTAATGCCTTCAGAGCCACAGAAACTTGGTCTTTAAACCCTAATGCCATTAGCCCTGAACGTCTTGCTCTATTATTAGTAACAGAATGTGAGGTCGCTCAGCCAACCGAAGAAGAACCATCATCTCCCAAAATTGTTTCCTCCTCTTCTCAACCTACCCGTAAATACTCCACTAGAACTGGTGTTGCCAAAGAAGTAGAGATATTGAAAGCAGATGTTATATCTCTTGGAAAAGAAGTCGAATTATTAAAAAAAGAAAATGAATCAATTAAGAGAAGTTATAAATTAATAAATGAAAAACTAGAGACCTTTAAAAATCCCGGTACCTGTCCTTTGAAAATAGCACTTAAATATCCTACTTCTCAGCTTTCATCACAAACCAACAAACAAGAAACTTGTGAAGTTGTTGAATCTCAATCCCAGTCTATAAAAAAAGAAAAACAATACCATTTGCCCACCTTCTTATTAACGATGATTCTTTGCGAGAGTTAGAGGCTACAGAAGAAGCTGCCAAATCTAAAGCTGAAACATAAAAAGAAAAAAAGAGATTGCAGCCCAAAAAAAAGTAATGCGTGAGTTAGAGAAAGCAGAAAAAAAAGCTGAAAGGGAGTGTAAAAAGAAAGAAAAAAATACAAAAAAAAAAAGATAAAGGAAAGGGTAGAGCTGATTAAGTTTTTTTTTTTGCGAACGGTGACTAGTGTGTGCTTAGTAAAAGCATCTAAACCTACTAAAATAGTTAGACTTCATTTAAATTTGAATAATTAATATATAATTAGAAAATATACTATATTTAATTTACAAAGTAGACCAAATATTAATTTTACCAATTACTTAACTAATAAAAAGACAAGTATATAGATTTTTAAGCACTCATTCTTTTTCTGAGATCGGGTGCCTCAGGTAAAACAACTATCATAGACTCAACAAAGAGAGACAAGAATCTCAACACAAAAATAAGAGCCAAAGCCCTTAGGCCAAAGAAACGCAAAAGACTAGAAAATAATCAAACAATATTTATTAGCAAAAAAAAGATAAAAACACAACAAACAAATAGTGAAACTCTTGTTGCAGAAAAGAAAAGTTTACCTCTATCCCTATTAAAACCCAATACTTCAGAAATTACCTTACAAAACAGAACAACCCTAGGACAACCAAATTTAGAACATACTAGCAGACTCTCTGAAAATTGGGCAGATGAATTTGAAGAAGTATCTAGAACACAACATAGAGTACAATTGAACTCCACTATGGTAAACAACAAAGAGCTGAAAAATTCTTTGGCCAACTCATATAAGACAAAAGCAGATAGGGAGATGAACTTATAGCTGAAAATGCAGAGAATCAGGTCATCGATGCCCCAGATCAAGTACAACCTCAATTAGTATCTAAACAGACTGCATTTACAGATATCTCATATATAGAAATATATAATACTGATACAAATATAAAAACTGATTATACAAACCTCAACCCAAGCTCTTCAACATGGTCAGCAGAGGAAAATAACTGGTACAGAAACAAAGATTCTTCACCTAGAAATTTGGACCAAAAAAATCAAAAAAAGTTCTAAACAAGCTTATTCGCCAAATTAACTAGAGGCCTATCAACATATTTGACATTTTCAGTACATAATCAAATTACCACCAAGAATGATAGAGCAGCAATATTTGAAATTCGTACTCTTAGTAACTTATCTATGAATGAAATTGTTGTAGTTTTAAACAAAAGTATTAGCAAAGATATTCTTGGAATAAAACTACATTTTATAAAGGGAATCAGATCGCACTTAGAAATTATCTTTAAAACCAATGAGGATGTACAAAAATATAGTATAGAAGAAATCAACTTGTTTAATCAAACCTTCTTAGACTATATTTCTACTAATAGCAGAACCTCATATCTCTCAATCAAACTTAAAAATGTTCCAATTGATTTTCAAGAAGATATCACAAAAGAAATTAAAGATACCTTTGAACATGTAGAGAAAATTTCTTCAATTAAACTGCTTGTTTTTGAGGGCACCTCAATATTAAATAACCAATGGGTAATAATTTTTGATATTACTGATGATCCTGAGATAACTAAACAGATCCCAAGATTCATAACAATTATAGACCAAAAAGTCATCACAGAATGGAGAGAGGCATCTAGACTTTGCTTCTTTTGTGATGCAGAAGGTCACATCAAAAGAGACTGTCACCAATATAAAGAAGTACAAAAACTCAAGGCAGAATATAAAATATATAAAAAAAACAAAACAACTCTGTTGGAAAACTCAGAACTATATAATTCAACAGATATCAATATCAACAATAATACAATCTTAGTACAAATGTTAGAAAATAATCATGAAAATAAACAAGAACAACCAATTCAAGAGGAGATCAGCTTACTTCAAAAAGAGCCAATAACACAAAACAATACAATAAACGTTCAACAAGAAGTATTTTCTGATCTGGATATTAGTGATGTTGACAACCATATGACTGACCTCGATACTCTACTCCAAGAGAAAAAAAATCAAGAAAACTCAATCATAGCTAATAATATAACAGACAATATACAACAAGAGTTAGCATTTACAGTAGTGAGCAATAAAAAATAAAAAAATAAAAAAAGTAATAATGGAAATGTTCATAACAATAATCGCTCTGTTCTCTATATAAACAGAAACAAAACATAAAATCAAACCAAACCAAGTAATATTTCTAATACATCTAGTTAATATGACTAATCAGAAAATTAAAATTGCTACCCTTAATGTAAAAGGGCTTAATAATTGTCGTGGCTGAAGCTGGAAATGGCTGAAGCTGGAAATTTTAAATATTTTAATATGAAATTTACAAAA